TAATCAGCTTATTAGTGATATGTCATTCATAGGTTGGGAGCTGTCCTATGACAGTACCTGGAAATAAGAAAATGAAATGTTATATGCATACTTCAAGCCTTAAATTCAGTGGAGAATTGAGAGCATCAAAAAGAAATTCTCTGCTGCACATAAAATAGTCTTTTTTTTATTTTGTAAAGTGTGTTGGAATCTATTGGGTTTTTTCTCTGTGTTTATCATTACAATGCCTGAACACATTAGCAGAGTACTCAGACAGGAAATTGAACTACATGGACATCTACTTTTCTGTGGTGTTACAATTTTAGTATCTTGTAAATTTAGCTCCAGTGTAGTGTTGGCTTTACACATCACTCTCATGGCAAAAAAATAAATTTTGCAAGGGAAAAGCTGCTGAAGTCATATTTTCTCAACAATTTTTTATTTTAACTTTCTTCTTGCAAAGAGTCTGAGCAATATAAACAGATACCATTGCTTCTTTGAATTTATGACCAGTCTGACTTCAGCAAGAGCAGTTGACAGAAATCTGGACTTTTGCTTCCTCAAATTACTAACCTGATAATTCAAATATGGTCACTGCTCTTCAAATTTAAGGATGTTAGCCTACTGCTTATACTGGTACCTAAAATGCCATAGCAGGGCACTTACTTGCTGTAACAGCTACATTAATACAACTTTGGAGTTAATTAACACAACTGTGGAGTACGTGAATAAAGTAAATAAAATACAGGTTGGTGTTTTTGCTTTTAAGGCTGAACAGGAATATTGCCTGAGAAAGAAGTCGAAAAAGGAACACTGGCATTAAAAGAACCTATGGGGTATATTCTTTCGTTTTTCTATAAATCCATATTTAAGCAATAATAAATCATCTGATATGTATCTGTATGATAGAAAATGGCTATGATATCATGATGAACATATAACATAATTTGTGCTAAGTAAAACAAGAATGAAAATAAATTTTCCATTTAAAATAATTTTGATGCTGATTTTCTGTTAATCTTTATTGTCTTTGGTGATCAACAAGTAGTTCTGAAAAAAAATTAACTGATTTTGTTTGTTTGCTTTTTAATAGTTTGTCTTTCTGTAACTGTTATGGAGCAAAGGAAGTTATTATATTCCACTTCTGTCACTGTTGTAAAGCTTTGGTGAAGAACAGGATCACATCCTGTCTTTGCAAAAAGAATTCATACACCAAGTTAAATTTCTAGGCAATTCTATATAAAACTTTGAATGCATTTGTTTCCTGTCACCTTTCAAGTAACTGTTTAGTTTATTAATAATTAAAAAAAAACAAAACACCAAAACAAAACAACCACAAAAAACTACCCTTCTAAACAGCATTTGAAATATTTTATGAGTAATTCTTAAGAAATAGCCATTGGTCTACAGGGCCTTGCAGAAACTTTCCCATGCTATTTAAGTGTGAGATTTCAGTGGCAACTTTCATGTTTCTGCATTTCATTACAGAACTTCTTTCAGAGAGTGCTTGGTTTCTGTCCTTGTGAACAGCGTATAAACTCTGGACAGCTGGATTCTTCAGCATTTCAAAGAACAGTATCATGTTTATAAGTAAACTTATAAACACTTTAGACATTGTTAGCAATCTAGAGTCTGGGGGTAAACACAATCAACAGCATCCCATCTCTTCTAGTAGTAGAGTAGTAGTTGATGGGTCCCCTCAGTTGCTGCACCCTATCACCAAATCGAGATAGATATTAGGCCAGACAAATAGGATTTTTTTGAGGCACTCAGATTTTCCCTACTATCTTTTCCTCAGAGATCCAAGAAAGATTTTTTTAATCATTCATTTCTTGGTGCATGTATTGGGTTTGCATGGCAAGGTTTTGGTAGCAGGGGGGCCACAGAGGTGGCTTCTCTGAGAAGCTGCTAGAAGCTTCCCCTGTGTCTGACAAAGCCAGTGCCAGCCGGCTCCAAGACGGACCCACCACTGGCCAAGGCTGAGCCCATCAGCAATGGAGGCAGTGCCTCTGGGAGAACGTATTTAAGGGGGATGCGGGGGGAACCCTGGAAACTCCAGCCAGAGAGAGGAGTGACAATGTGTGAGAGAACCAACCCTGAAGACCCCCAGGTCAGTGAAGAAGGACGGGGAGGAGGTGCTGCAGGCACCGGAGCAGAGATTCCCCTGCAGCCCAGGGAGGTCCACAGTGGAGCAGATCTCCACCTGCAGCCCGGGGAGGACCCCATGCCGGAGCAGGTGGGTGCCCAAAGGAGGCTGTGACCCCGTGGGAAGCCCATGCTGGAGCAGGCTCCTGGCAGGACCTGTGGCCCCATAGAGAAAGGAGCCCATGATGGAGCAAGTTTGCTGGCAGGACTTGTGGCCCCGTGGGGGAGTCACGCTGGAGCAGTCTGTGCCTGAAGGACTGCAGCCCGGGGAAGGGACCCATGCTGGAGCAGTTTGTGAAGGACTGCAGCTTGTAGGAAGGACCCACACTGGAGAAGTTCATGGAGAACTGTCTCCCATGGGAGGGACCCCATGCTGGAGCAGGGGAAGAGTGAAGAGTCCTGCCCCTGAGGAGGAAGGAGCGACAGAGACAACATGTGATGAACTGACCGTAACCCCCATTCCCCATTCCCCTGCACTGCGGGGGGGGGGGGGGGGGGGGGTGGGGAGGCGAG